AAGCTACTTGAGAGTAGAGGCATTTGTGCTCAATATACAATGCCTGGTACTCCTCAGCAGAATGGTGTAGCTGAGAGGCGGAATCGTACATTAATGGATATGGTTAGGAGCATGTTAAGTAATAGTTCTTTACCCCTTTCATTGTGGATATATGCATTAAAGACTGCAACGTATGTCTTAAACCGGGTTCCTAGTAAGGCAGTTCCTAAGACTCCTTTTGAACTGTGGACGGGAAGGAAACCTAGTTTAAGACATTTACGTGTTTGGGGATGTCCAGCAGAAGTAAAGCCATATAACCCACATGAAAAGAAATTTGATTCTAGGACTGTCAGTGGATTCTTCATTGGCTATCCTGAAAAATCAAAGGGGTATACATTTTATTGCCCTAACCATAGTACGAGAATAGTTGAAACGGGGAATGCTAGGTTCATTGAGAATGGTCAAACTAGTGGGAGTGGTGAACCAAGAAAGGTGGACATTCAAGAAATTCAGGTTGAAGTTTCTTCACCTGATGTTCCATCTAAGGTTGTTGTTCCTATTGTTTCAGTACAGTCAAATGACACAATAGAACAACATGATGATGTACCAACCCCACTAGATGAAGGGACAATTAATGTACCTGTCACTATTCAAGAAGAGAATCATAGTGTACCACAAGAACCATTAAGGCGATCTGGAAGGGAAAGAAGATCTGCTATTTCAAATGATTATGTGGTTTATGCTATTGAAAGTGAATGTGACATAAGCCTTGATGAAGACCCGATCACATTCCGAAAAGCCATGGAAAGTGACAATTCTGAAAAATGGTCAATTTCCGCAAAAGAAGAAATAAAATCTATGGGTGATAACAATGTTTGGGACTTAGTAGAGTTGCCTAACGGTTTCAAGACCGTTGGTTCTAAATGGGTCTTTAAGACTAAGCGCGACTCGAAAGGTAACATTGAAAGATACAAGGCTCGCCTTGTTGCTAAGGGTTTCACCCAAAAGGATGGTATTGACTATAAAGAGACCTTCTCTCCAGTTTCAAAGAAGGATTCTCTTAGAATTGTTTTGGGTTTGGTGGCTCATTATGATCTTGAGCTTCACCAAATGGATGTGAAAACCGCCTTTCTAAATGGAGAGCTTGAGGAGGAAGTATATATGGACCAACCTGAAGGGTTTGTGGCCACAGGAAATGAACATTTGGTGTGTAAGCTGAAAAAGTCGATATATGGACTAAAACAAGCTTCTCGACAATGGTATTTAAAGTTTAATGATACCATTACGTCATATGGATTTGTAGAGGTCATTGTTGATCGATGCATCTACATTAAGGTCAGTGGGAGCAAGTTTGTAATTTTAGTCCTATATGTTGATGATATTTTGCTTGCTGCTAATGACATGGGTATGTTACATGATATTAAGAAATATCTCTCTAAGAACTTTGAAATGAAAGATATGGGTGAGGCATCTTATGTGATCGGAATAGAAATTATTCGAGATAGATCACAAGGATTGTTAAGTTTGTCTCAGAAAGGATACATCAAAAGGATCTTAGAGAGATATAGAATGGATGAATGCTCTGCTGGAAAAGCACCAATTCAGAAAGGGGACAAGTTCAGTAAAATGCAATGTCCGAGAAATGAATTGGAGCGTAAGGAAATGGAAAGAATTCCCTATGCATCAGTGGTTGGGAGTTTGAACTACGTTCAGACATGTACTCGACCAGATATAAGCTTTGCGGTTGGTATGTTGGGTCGATATCAAAGTAATCCCGGAATGGATCACTGGAAAGCTGCAAAGAAAGTTCTCAGGTACTTGCAAGGCACCAAAGAGCTCATGCTTACATACAGGAGATCCGATAACCTTGAGGTTATTGGATATTCAGATTCAGACTATGCTGGATGCGTCGATAGCAGGAAATCGACGTTTGGCTACTTGTTCCTATTAGCTGGGGGAGCAGTATCTTGGAAAAGTGGGAAGCAGTCTGTCATTGCTACTTCCACTATGGAGGCCGAATTTGTGGCATGCTTTGAGGCCACAATTCACGCATTGTGGTTGCGGAACTTTATCTCAGGACTTCGGATTGTCGACTCCATAGAGAAGCCGCTGAGAATTTATTGTGATAATTCTGCAGCTGTATTCTTCTCTAAGAATGACAAGTACTCGAAGGGTGCTAAACACATGGAGTTAAAGTACTTGTCCGTAAAAGAAGAAGTGCAGAAACGTAGAGTTTCATTTGAGCATATTAGGACGGACATGATGGTTGCGGATCCGTTAACTAAAGGTCTACCACCCAAGGCGTTCATTGGCCATGTAGAGCGTATGGGGATTATAGACAAAGCCTTGCTATATTGATTGTAGTATGCTCGTTTTATGTATGATACTATGAATTCACTTAAAGTAACGTTTCTGGATTTATTAAGTATGTTATCGTTATAGTATGTGTATACACTTAAGGTTTATGGATAACATATAGTTATTTTGAGAATTAAGGTTTCTCTCATTGTAAGGAAATTATAAAGTTAGAATTGGTTTGTGATACATGGAAGGGAGCATGTCGTTCAATGATGTGTAACCGCCATGATTCAATCAATTTTAATTTTAATTTAAGTAATTAAAGATCTAATAAACTTGATGTTAAAGCGCGCATTAAAGTTATTAAACCATTAACTTGACACAAAGGCCAAGTGGGAGAATGTAAGAATATTTTATTCTATGTGGCCTATGTGTCTTTTGATTTAATTATAAAGTTCAAGTTTATATTAAAGTTAAAGATTCTAATATTAAAGACGATACCGTGATGGATCGGTTTCGATTAAAGAATTAGAATTCGGGTGTATTGATAACCCTCTTCCCTTGCCTTAATTATATTTTATAAGTAATATATATACATGTATATGTTATGTTCATGCATTATTAAAGTGGTGGTTATTACGAACCAATACAACCCTTGGTAGATGCTATATACATGTATATATATGTGTGGTGTTAAACACGTCAAATGTTACGTTTTTGTTCTCCTCACGAGAGAAACAGAAACAGAACAATAACTAGACACAAAAACATCAAAAAGGGTTAGTGATCTTCTCCATCAAAGATCACGTGAAAGGAACAAGGTCAAAGGGGAGAAGAAATCAACTGGTGAATTGATTCCATTACAAGCCTAATTAAGCAATGGATCAAGGTTAGTCTTTCTTCTTCTACAAGAAAGTGTGTGGTTGAATTAAATTGAATCTAGATGATCTTGGGAATTAGATTTCATGGTAGAAATCATAAAAGTTTAATTCAATATGATGTAGCTGGTCGATAAACAAAAGTCGCAGCAACAGAAAAACAACCATTATAAGCTTGTGATTCATCGCTAGGAGGCTGCCAAAAGGAAGTGTAATTGGTGAATCTCACCTGCAATATCAAAAGACAAACATCCATGAATTGATGATGGCAAGTTACTTTGTTATCAATAACAAAAGCAAATTCATGTATCTGGGGGAGCTACCTGCCGAAAGGACCACTAGTTCCAGGACGTGTAATTACTAGGGGAATTATGAGGAGTCCATAAACAACGATCACACCCACCAAAGTCAGGAAAGCCATGGAATTCGTCTCTATGTTTAGCCATCTTCACCTTAAGCTTCCTTCCCCCCATGTAACTTCCATTTAGATCTAACGCCTTGTCATTGTCTTCCTCATTTATCAGATCCTAAGGGAACACCGGTTTTACACTCTGTGGGGACGAAAACCCTTTCGACCCCTCCGCAAGATCTGAAAAAATTCCTCAATTCATGCTTGATTTCATCCCTTGGTTTCGCATTATTAAATCCCTTGACGAAAATGGTTTTAGAATTGTTTCCTTTCGCTTCTTCACAATCGAAACAACAAAGAAATTTCTCGTTCTTGGCGATTTCTTTCTGTTATAGACAAAAGCAGGATTTCTTTAGAATTATAAAACAAATACATCAGCTAATATAAAAAGTGTAAAAAAGTATATCGTTTCTCAACCTAGAAAACAAATACAAAAGCTAAAAAACTAACAAATAAAAAGAATCATATATATATATACCTTCAATGAAACCTCTAATAGATCGACTTTTGTCAGTAGAACCTCTTGCAGTTTTTTCATAGCTTCAGACAGCTCTTTGATAGATTTCGTCATTTTTTTAATATCCTGCCACTGGATTTAAAAGTAATCAATAAAAAAACTGGTAACAACAAATCAAACTCAATACTTAGCTTGGTCGAGAGTGACGCATCTTACATGGATGTCAAGAATAACAAAAAAAATCAAAATAAAAAAGTTGTAGATACTTACATTTTTAGGGACAATAATTTCACCTTCATCCTTTTCCTTCAAAAATCAAACCAAAACACATGGTTATTGTCAAAGAATGAAACATATATCACAACCGAAAAAAAACGTAAATAAAGTCGATGAGATTTAATATGATAATAACTTAATAAACAAGTAAATAGAGGAATACACAAGGCATGCAAGAACAATGTCTAACCTGAGATTTCGCCTTCTGCTTTTTCAGGGCAAGCATGTCATCATCATCACCAACACCAAGTTCCTGAAAATCCTAAACAAAACAAAGGCGAGGTCATTGACAAAAGCTCAAGATGAGAAAAGAACAAGGACAACAAAAGGAAGAATAAGATTACAGTTGAAGATTTCGATTTCTTGCGTTTCTTCCCCGGAAGCTCTTTCTTGCCCATTGGCGGTGCTAGAGGATTACGTGAGATACTGTGTTGTGGTAAAAAACTAATAACCCTAGACTAGGCTTATTTATAACCCTTTTTTTTTCTTCTTTTTAATTCTAGTTTGGGCTGGGTTTACTGCCCATATTCTTATGTTTTATGGATTAGGTTGTATATTCCCAAGAGTATAACTTCATATACTTGAGAAAAAAGTATTATGCTGGTGATAACTAACCCTAATTAGCTTTTCTACGGGACAGATTAGTATGGATACTTTGGTCAGATTTGTTTTAAGTGTTAAAAAGCAAATTAGATTCCATCTCTTAGTTTCTCATCGGATATCAAATTAGATTGAAGATTAAGATCATAATCCCAAAAGGGCATTGTTTTAATGTGAAAATCATACATGGAGAATTATAAGAAGAACAATGAGTGAGAATAAATAATCCAGAGGAGATTCCAGAGACTTTTCATGATTGCAAAAGATAGCACAAACACACACACAAACACACTCCTCTGCACAAATCCGCTTTGTTTCATCCATCGTCGTACCTACGAATTTCAAAAGATTTAGAAAAACCGAAAGTATGATCGGTGGAGATCACTCAAAGATGAAAAGGTTGTTTATATTTTACCTGACTGGAGAAGAGGGTGAATCCGATGAGATACTAAGGGACATTACTCATCTGTCAAAGGAAGAGGGCTCTATAATTATTCGCTTTGGATAATCAAATCATATGCAGACAACTTTGTTTTAGTAAATTAGCTTGATGTCAGATTTCCTTCTACAAGTGTAAACTTGTAAGAGTTCAAACCAAGATTCACAAGGCTACACAAGAGGAATCAATCAAGCAAAGATCATCTACATTTTCTTTTGCAAATCTAGGCTTTGACAATTAAAAGCTATTCTGCATCATCTTACACACAGTTATAATATTTCTAGAAAAGTGTATAACAAAGGCTGTCTTACCAATAGACTAGCTAGATCAAACAAAGAGAAGTGCTTATGATTTCTATATCACTCTAGTTTCAAGTTTTTCCCTAGTCAAGTTTTACAACATTCCACCAGATATTTTCTCTAATTTACTGAAAAGGAGTTTAGCCAGGGAGCACAGGAGATTCATTTCTTCTCTTCTTTATCAAGTCAAGAATTGTGAAACTTTGCTTACTAATACTCCAAACCAGATAAAATATAGAAAAGAGTCAAGAGATCACCCAACAAAAAAAAACTTTCTTGGTGGGTTCTTCTAAACTAAGAGGTATCAAGAATATTCGAATTGAAACACAACCAGTTGTAGCAAAGAAGAGCAAAAGCAGAGTAGGAAAATCATGAATTGAAAAAAATGTTGAAGCTCATTTGCACCACTTGCAGTGGAAATCTGCCTAGTTTTCTAGATAATCATTAGGCAGCTGAGGAAAACTACCACCAAATGAAGAAAAAATGAATCACAGAATAAAATATCATTCCTACTTTTCGATACTAAAGCAGAAAGTTAGATAACTACAAGCTGAAACAGAGTAGAACACTAACAAGAAAAATCAATAGAATTAAACATCACAATACTCTAACTTATGGAAATGAAGCCATGTACAAATCTAAGTTTTCAAGTTCTCAGCTATGGATATCTCTCTGTTACACTAATCTAACATATTCTATAAATTCATGCCACCACCATCAACAAGTCAACGATGCCCGAAAACAGAAGAGAAAAAAATGAATGATCCTGACCTTTGATGTGTTCATGATGAACAGAAGCAGCAGCAGCAATCTTAGCCTCATCATCTTCATCATCATCATCATCATCATCCCTACGTGATTTAACAGTCACAATAGCTTCCCTCGTAGCTCCAACATTCCCAGGAGGAGCAGGACCATCACGATCATCAGGATATCTAACCACAACAACAGGACAAACACAATGATGAACACAATAATCACTAACAGAGCCAAGCTTGCCATCACTTCCTCTCTTCTCAGCACCAAATCCTCTGCTTCCCATTATCACAGCGCTTAGATTAAGCCTTTCAGTCTCTAAACAAAGCCTCTCTCTCATATCGTGATCTTTCACTATATGGATCTTATGAGGGAACCCAGCTTCCTTCAATGGCTTCGCTAGATCTGCTACTTTGGAAGAAGTAAACGCATCGAAATCTTCCTGACTAGGCTTCGGTTGAGCTCCGGGATCGGTAGCGGCGGAAGGAGGAGGAGGAGTTTGGAGAGGGAGTGGTCCCCAATCGGCGCCGAAGAGAACGGAGGTTGGAGAAACGTGGAGAATGACGACGGCGTCACCGGGACGGATGTAATGATCGACAGCCCAGCGAACAGCGAAGGCGCTTTCTTCGGAGAGGTCAACGGCGACTCCGATCTTACGGCGAGCACCGGCGGTTGGGGTAGGAGTAGCGGCGGAAGGAGTGGAGGAAGAGTGGTGGTGAGAGTGACGAGGAGATGAAGGATGGTGGATCTTGATGTTAGGGAGATGAGGATAATCGGAATCTGGATTCATGATCTCTTCTTCTCTGCTTGTGATTCAACAATTTATAGAAACTTTGATTTTTTTTCCGATGATGATGATGAAGAAGAAGAGAGAGCCGTGTTTTGTCAGTTTTATTTACGTTAAAAAATTAATTATAATTTAATACTAATTGTTGGATAATGGATGTATTGAATTTTCAAGAAGTTGAAAATTACGAGAACGTGCTAAGCAGCTGCTTAGTGAGGAATCATGGGGAACTATTTTATCTTATCAGTTTACTTTTCTAATGGGCCCTTTGTTTTGTTATTAAGGCCCATATAGTCATATACCATGTTTTGTCATACAACAGACTTTTTATCAATATTGTCAACATAGACGACGGTTTGCTGAGTACAATTGTTGTAATCGTGTTGGTTATGTAGACCAAGTTTAACTATTTGTAATACATATATTTTATGATGAATGATTTTGTTTAAATTGTTTGCTTTTGTTTCAAATACCTTTATTTTTTAAATATTTTGACCGTAAACAATTTGATGGTTATGGTTTTTTAATTGATGTATTATTAGTATATATATACAAAGTGTGTTACACAATTTCCAAACATAATATAACGAAATGAAGTATGTTTAAAATTCCAAAATGCAGTAGTATTGGACTAGGTGAAATTAATAACATTTAAAAATCTGACTAATTTTAGCCGAACTACAATCAAATAAAACATCCTAAAATAATTGTTGATCTATATATAACAATATTTGAGAAGTGTTTTTGCTGACGTGTCGGACTCTCGGCTCTTGTTGAGTCCTTGATTTTACGTAATTACTTAATTACCCTTAATGAAATCTAATTAATTTTGGAAAAATTAAATTGAATTTCGGAATTAACTAGGAAAAAATAATTTTGGAAACAATAAACATGATAATTAACCAAAAAAAAAAAAAGGAACAACGAAGTACCAATTAGGAAGCTTTAATCGAATTCATCGTGTTCTTCGTCGTGTGAATATAATTCTTCTAAACGAAGGCAAAACTTGAAATCCTAACATAAACCATATATTCATAGCAATAACAGAGATCTAATAATTTAGTGATAGAATTTCACCTGTTGATCTGTCGAAGCAGAATAGTCAAGCGTCTCATAGTATCTTGCCCATGTTATGTCTTTAAGACGTCAATACTATCTTGCACCATATAATTCTAACCAATGAAAAGAACAAATATTTATTACCTTGGATACAGAGTTGACGAAGAAACCTTGGATAAAAACTCGACGAAGAAACTTGTAAGTGTTAATGTATGATGAAGCTTCCATGAACGTGAATTCGTGATCATAATGAAGAAACGTGTGAATGGAGACGGTTGATGGGTTTGTTTTTTTTTTTTTTTTTTTTTTTTTTTTACCTTTTGTGTAAACAGTTCCGTTTCATAATTTATCGGAAAAGGAATTATACCAAAAAAAAAAAAATCGGAAAAGGAAAATATTTATTATAATATTGATATATTTAAGATGATAATGTCAAATATCCGAAAATTATTAATCGGAGCATTAATATAAACATAAAAAATTACTATTCTAACCTTACTCAAATTAATAAGATTTAGATATCCGAAATTAATCATAAACGGCTATTAATTGTTAAACTAATTAAAATAAAGATCAAACGTACCGGAATAGATGAAATTTTTTGGTATGATCGTCGTGTTCGTCGTCGTTTCAATCTAAATATTTGAAAAAAAAAACGAACAAAAAAAATAATATGTAGATCAATGAAAGAGAACCCACCAATTTAGAAACGGTTATCACGCCATCGTATTGTTCGTCGGATGATTATAAGTCTCTAATCCGGAGATTGACTTGAACCCTAACAAAAACATATATTCATAGCATAAAATCGTAAATAGAAGGTAGAAGACCACCTATTAATCGGTTGTAACCTTGTGCAAACTCGATTTAATTTTGACGAATGAAATGTTGGTGTGGTGTAAAAACTTTCTTGGGGAGACTCGAAGATGAGAGAGCTGAAGTCAGAGATAGGCAGAAAGGTTTACGTGTGAATTAAGGTATGGAGTGCTAACGTGAACATGAACGTGAACGGCGGTGATTTTTGCACATAATAGCAATTAGATCGAGTTTTGGAAAAAAATATGGATCAGCGTGACATGACGCATATGGATACCATGCATGTCTATCTATTGTAAATCAAAAATTATATTATTGTTCCGCCTTATTTTTGAAACAGAAATGAATTTTCCCTTAAATTTTAATATATTTTATAAGATAGTATCAATATAGTAGTAAATCTAAAATAGTTGTTATTATTCCATATTTTTACGGAAAAAAGTAAATATTATTTTAAATAAACATGGATAACAATGAATAAATGGCAGTTTTACAAATATTTATTATTATGATAGTGATTTGCTTATTAAAATATGTAAATTTTCTTTTCTTTTTTTGTATTTATCGTCGAAAAATTTAGAAACCCTAAATCATGCACAACCTCCTATTCAATATAAATACCTTGCTCATGGTATTCAATTTCAGATCATAACTAACCCTTGTTTTTTTTGTTCTTTTTTTTCAAACTTTTTTTTGCTTCTACCTAATTTTAATTTTTCTTTTTATTGTAGGGTGGATGTATGGAGGGGACGATGTGAACTGGTGTATGGAAAATTTGGACCTAATTCAATGAATAAACAGGTGATCTTATAGTTTATATGTACAAATTTGATTTTTTTTTTTTTTGTATTTATGGTTTCACTATTTTCACCACTAATCAATTTTTATAATCAAAAAGTTTGGTTTCAACTTTTGAGAAGGTAATCATCGATGGTTTGATATGTTTCTTTTTGTTGTAAAAAGATGAGGTACCTCCCGATTTTGTTGAGGTACATGTTCTTATTATTTTCAAATATGTCTTTTTTAGAAGAAACACTCAACTTTTGATAACACAGTTGCCACAAAGTCAGAAAGATGACTTATTTCAGGGATGAATCTTCAGAGGAGGCTAATTTTTGTCGTTAATACATTTTAAGTATTCCTCTCTTTAGATTCGGGATAACAAACTTGGCTGTTAAATTCAGGAATTACTCTTCGTTGTCAATCTCTCTCCCCAAACTAAAATATTACATATATGGAAGTAGTAACTTAAAGTTTTTGGTATCGAGGTCATTCTAAGGCACTGAGATTCGGACTTTGGTATGTATAGGATTCGTTTTCCATGCACTAAGATTTAATTATTGTTTAATTTATTGGTTTTTAGGTTTCTTTCCATGCTCTGATGCATTTTCGGGTGTGCCAATGGAAGCTTGCATCACTCTTTACTCCAAGCGTAAGTATGCTCTGCATTAGCTTCTTCTGTTCCATTGGTTATTATGGGTTTTGACTTTTGAGAAATATACAACAATTTAAAACCAGGTTTTGTTGTTGATTGGTTCGGTTTGTATACCATATTTTGCTAAATACATATGACCATAAATAAGACCAAAGGAGCTGGGTTAGCTCCTTTGCCAGCTAGGTTGACTTCGTCTCCTCCCCGTCTTGCGGATTTCCGTTATTCAACGGGTATATTTGAGAAGTATACGGTACTAAAACCACAACCATTGATCTTAGCTTGATCGGTTCTTCCCTAGGATTTATACATAAAAGTAAATTGTTTTGTTTAATAATTTTCCATTGCATGAACTTTCGAGACAACAAGTGGACAAGAGTGTAATGTCATCAAAAGTCAAATCAAACACTGTGAGGAATATAATAGACAACGTTGGCTTCTTTCGCAGCTGCTCAACGTTGTCTCTCCCGATGGTCCCAACACTCTCTTCTTCTTTTTTTGTCAACATTCAAACGTTGTTTAAAATAAATAAAAATGTTTAACCTTAATCATCTTTCTAGATCTTTAAATGCCTAAAACTTCAACTTAATCAGTCAGCAATCCGTCACGTTAATGATTTTGAAAGGAAGACTTTTGTTTTGTTTCGGTTAGTTTTGTTTGTTTAGTATTTTAATCACAAGATAACTCTAATTTCCCATTAGAGTTGTGTTAATTGTGTTGATTATGATTTGGCGTTCCAATTCTGATATTATTTTTATGTTGTAAATCTTAAACTGTTACGTTATTGTTCTATCTTCCTATGTGAGAAAAAAGTAAAATGTTTTAAAATTTTGACATGGATAATAATATAATTGTAAATCTATAATAATTATATTATCATTTTATTTATATTTTTCAAAAAGAAATATATTTATCTTAATAGATTTAATAAGATAATGTCAAATATAGTTATAAATCTAAAAGAGTTATGTTATTATTCCATCCTTTTATGAGAAAAAAGCAGATATTCTCTTAAACTTTTAAATTAACGTGGATAATAATAAAGAAATGATAATTTTACTAATATGATAATGATTCGGTTTTAATCTTACCAAAAAACAAATAATGATTCTGTTTTAAAAATATATAAATTTTCTTTGTTTAGTTGTAGATATTGTCATATAAGAAATTCTTAGATCCTCCACTGCCTTAATTTTATGTAAATACCTTGCTTGATATTTAATTTTGATTTGATATCATAACTAATCCTTGCTTTTTTTTTCGGCACTAACCATTGAATTTTTTATACTGCCATTTAATTCTTGCATAAAAAATATTAATTAATAGTAGTGTTTATTATGAATGCAGGTTTGTTTTCCATAAAAACTAGATTGGATTTATGGAAGCACGTCATTGTTTCCAGTGTGAGGAAACAAATGTCGTATCACTGCTGTTGTGGCTCTTTAGTACTTTCGTTTCTGTTTATGGCTTTGATGCGGTTGTATGGTTAGTCATCAATCATTGATCTTCTCATTGTTTGAATATTGTTGCATAGGAAAAATCTTCCTTTTTTATGAATCTTTCAAAAGTTGGGTCCATGCTATTCTCAGTGATTGATTACGTTTATTGAATATTTGTGTGCTTCCTCTGCTGATATTCTAATTCATGCTTTATTCGCCGTCTTTGATACACTCCGATTAACCATTGTGGACCTCTAGAGTCTAATTTGCAATATTAATGCAAGTCTCTTTAACTTACGGATTATGAAGAGCATCCTAAGATCGTTTAATTTGATTCAGGCTTTATGTGGCGGCTAATGTTTGGTCTTGGATGTGAATTAGTCTATCATGTTTCTTGGAAGGTAGGAAGCAATCTTGATGTTTACCAAAATCCAATGTGCTCTTTTGTAGCTCAGTTTTGTAATATGTACTAATTATTGTAGAGGGAACCCGAAACAAAGAGACCATATGTATGATTTTATATGCGAAGAGAAGCTCCGAATTTGAAATCGTCTCCACTCCGGTGATATGTGGCCATGGTGTGAAGGAGTCTGGAGCCATGGTTATTTCAGATTCGGACATAACCGTAATTGTTAAACTAATAAAAATAAGATCAAACGTACCAGATTGATGAGAATTTTTGGTGTTCTTCGTCATGTTCTTCGTCGTATGGATCTAACAAAACAAAAAAAATATATATACCCCAGAAATTTTTTTTGTTTGTTAATAGAGAGAACCCACCAATTTTATAGCGTTGATTGTGACATCGAATTGTTTGTCGGATGAATATAAGTCTCTAATCCGGAGACTGAAGTTGAACCCTAACAAAAACATATATTCATAGCATAAAATTCATAAATAAAAGGTAGAACATCACATAGCTTTTTCTTCAAAGCCAACACATCTCTCTTTGTAGCCGAATTACTCTCCAGTTTGGTATATACTCAAATTTTCCAATGACTTCCTTCTCGAACCTGGAGCGTTTTTGCTTTGCCGGATATTTTTAGGATATGGCTCTTATGTATCTCTTGTGAGTCACTTGATATGTTGTTTAGGTAAAACTTTTGGTTTGAAAGAGAATGATCTACGACAAGCATAATCGGTTATTTGTTATATATGTGGCCATGTTCATATTGCTTTCTCCACAAGCAATTTTCCAGTTTTGTAGCATTCGATATTTAAATTTAAAAGCTTCAATACGTTGTATACATGTGTATGTATGTACATATATGAATTATTCTCAGTTGCACATAGTGGTTTCTAAGGGATAGATACTTGTTCTCTGTAACCCTCTCATTTTTAGTACCTATCTTCAGTGTTTACTTTGCTAAGAGCTTCTTGATAGGCATACATCTTTGCAATCTCAGATCAATATACTACAAATACATATACGATACAGTTAAGAAAATGATATTTCTCTTACAACTTTTTATATGGGTTTTATAAACAAGACATCAACTGAAGGGTTACGCAGCGACCAATGGCGAAGGTAGAGACAAAGATACTACAATAGGGACGATAAATATGACACGATATATACAAAGGAGATGCCTGTTTCTATACCATTGAAATTTTACGTACATAACTACTTCAGAGAGCAAGATGACTTGATAGGTAAGAGATATGGTAAGAGATTATATTTTTCAATTATTTGTTTCCAACTACGAAAAACTCCAGCGACATACAATCTAAAAGCATGAATATGTCATAAAATCAAGAATACAACAAAAACCAGGAAGATGGGCCCAAATTAAAGACCGAAACTGGACGTGGGGAACCCACGGACAGTGGCGGTCGGAGCGTTACAGATATGAAAGAAACGAGGAAGCATGAATATGTCATAAAACCAAGAGTACTACAAAACCAAGAAGATGTGCTCAAAGAACGAAACTGGACGTGGGAACCCACGGACAGTGGCGGTCGTGGCATTACAAATATGAAAGAAACGAGTAAGCATGAATATATCATAAAATAAAGAGTACGACAAAACAAAGAAGATGGGCCTAAAGACCGAAACTGGACGTGGGGAGCCCACGGACAGTGGCGGTCGGGGCTTTGCTAATATGAAAGAAACGAGTAAGCATGAATATGTCATAAAATCAAGAGTACGACAAAACAAAGAAGATGGGCCTAAAGACCGAGACTGGACGTGGGAACCCATGGACAGTGGCGGCCGTCGGGGCGTTGCTAATATATTGTTGGTTTAAATATATAGATTTTTTATATTTAATTCTATTATATATATCAAGATATAAACACTAATAATTGTTTGTGATTCAAAAACACTATTAATTGTTGATTACTAATAATATATATCAAAAGTTATAGGGTTTTACCATAATTCTATATTAATGTCGTTATAAAAATTAGACTCTTGACAAAATTAAATCAATAAATATCCCTAACTTGATAACCCTAAATATTGATTATTAATTGTGGTCTTAATCAACATACAACCCCGCGCTGGGCGCGGGGACCTCCCCTAGTTTTCTATAAATGAACAAAGCCAAATCAAATCAACTTATAAAACTTATAAAAAGAAGATAAACTCCAAATCAACTTATCAAACACTTGTATAAACCGAAAACAAAGCTGTACGTACACCCTATATTTTATGCAATGTAATTAATTGGAAATAGCTATAAGCAAGAGCAATTTGATAAATATATTTATCTCACACCAAATAACAAGATTAATCAGATGACACCGTTACGAAAACCGAGGATTAATTAGGTGATAACATGAATCATGACAGGATCATTGCCTAACTAAAGAAACACAAAATGGATACAAGCCCCAAGATCTGACACAACTTTAGAGAGAGAGAGAAGTTTCATGACAACAATTAAGGAAGAGAACAGAACATATATGTCTGAGTGTTTAGGTTAGAATCTCATAATAAACAACCAAAAGGGTAATCCAAAAGCTGAATCTTTCTTTTGATCCAGCTCTCAGATGCATACACCAAAAAAGGGTCTTTTTTTTCTTCTGTTTCTTACTTTCATCTACTTAATTGTTTCTAAAAAAAAAAAAAAGACGATTTGTTTAAAATAAATATAGAAAGATAAGAGGCGAAAAATCTCCGAGATATGTTTCAAAAGTTTTAAAAACATTTAAAGCTTCAAGGACAAATCAATGGTATTAGGACTGCAATCACCTATGACTGATGACGATGTAGCCACCACTGAAACTCTTTCACCATATTTTCCCGGAAAAAACTCGTACTCCTTCACACCTCCTGATCCATTTCTAGGGTTTCCTTCCATGTAGCTCCCAAATTCCTCCATTGATCCCTAAACCCACCAATTAAATCAAATAAGATCAACAGTTATATACATAACATATATATGTTTATAAATGGACTAATTAATTAGTACCGTATGATTTGTCGCCTCATTAAAATAAGGATTAATAGTAGTACTAGAAGCAGAAACTGAAGCTGATCTAGCGATTCTATGATCATAAAGGAAACCTTGGCTCCTCTGATGATGATCTGGTTGAAGAAGATATTGATCGTAGCCGTTCATCGGAGGAGGAATCATTGTGTATTTCGAAAACCCACCACCGTTGGATCGAACTACATTATTCTGATCACCATCCAAACGTTTCTTCTGCAATTTTTACATAATAAAAATCAAAACTTTTTCAAATGCAAAAACTATATCAATCATGTTGAAAACGCTTATAAAAAAAATCAAACCTTGAAGCAAGTGTCACAGCGATTATTGGAAGAAGCGTTATACATTTGAGGATTTGAGATTGAAGAGAGCTCATGAGTGGAGGAGCTCTCAACAAAACCCCATGGAGAACAAACAGGGTCGATCATCATCTGACCCGACCCGACTCCACCACAATAGATCCTGTTGCTTCTGCATCCTCCGAGTGGGCTTGGGAAGCCTTGTAGCACAACACCCGGGTCTACGGGTACGGGTAAACGGGTAGCGTTGTTAGAGATCGAAGCTGCTGACGTCTCTCCGACTGTGGCGGCGATTTGCTTCTTTTCTTCTTCGATTCTTTGACGCTCGAGCTTTGCTACACCCATTCCTCTCAGCGTCGGTTTCTTCTGCTTTTGCTGACCTGTCTTCGATCCTGGTTTCCGACCACGACTCTTATGTGTCTCTGTCCGGATCTCGCCGGAGCTGTTGACGACAAGACGGGTGTTTCTCAGAAGATCATTTGGGTTTCCAACGGAGTTTTGATCTGTTGCCATGAAGAAGAGAGAAGTCGCCATTGATTGATGATGATCACTGAGATTTCTTGTTCTCGGAACTCTTTTTAGAGAGAGAGAGAGAGAGAAGTGAAGAGGTAAAGACGAAAGCTTTAAGTGTGTGTGTTTTGTTTCTGCTCTCTTTTTGTGTGTGTATATCTCTTTATTGTTCATATACTAGCTCAGGCAAAGTACTTACCTGTGTTTTTATTTTCTGTTATTTCCAGGTACTATTTGCGGATAACGTATCTTTATTTCTTTTTTACTTTTCACTTTTTACCCCTAAACTAGATTAAATTAAAGCATTTTCAAAAATATTAGTAAGTATATCATAATATTCTTAAAAGAACTATTAATACTTCTCTTAGTCTTATTAACCTTAGATGTAATTATAATATATAATTCCCTAGCACTTGCATGCATTTTTAACTTGTGTGTATAGATGTTCAATATGTCAATATTAGTGGGTTTAAAGTCAAGAGACGTTAAAAAAGGTGCATTATTTGATGTTAATATAATCATGAAATTAAAGGACCAACTGAAATAAATAAAAAGGAGAGTTTGTAACTGAAAATTATGGTTATAACATGAATGTATGATTGATTGATGTTATCCATGCATTGGATCGTGGAAGAAATTTAACAAGATATGGTAATTAGTTATGTTTGGTCTGTCCATTAATTAAATGGTGTGCCTCACTCTTTCCATAATCTTCACTTACTCCTTAATTAATTAACCTAATATCGAATATAGATTACTATAATGTACAGATATAGTTAATATCGGTGTAAAATGGGACGATAAGTTCAAGTTGATAGCGATAGCAAATGGTAAAGAATTTTGTCCGCTTGATCCTAGTTCTAGTATATATAAATTCTCACTTTGCAACGAATATGATTAGTTTTTTGTGAAATTGATCAAAGATATAATGATATGTAGTTTAAGAATTTACAGGCTTAACAACAGAACAAGATTTCAAATCCTTTATTTTCTTACATCTTTTGCGCGAAGAAAGTAGGAAAAAATATCTTTTACATCTTTTACATCTCAAAGCTATTTATTTACTTGTTCTTAGATAAAAATAAATAATTATGATAATCCCTACCGTGGAGACAGCAAATCGGAGATTGTCGCTACTAGCTAGGCTCAGTCGTGACGTGAGAAACACTGTCCAATAGCAACAGCGCGTGCATTACACGTAGAGAATATAGTACCCGTGGATCGAGGACAGGTGTCGGGACGTTAGACCATTCGCCGATTGTAGCGAGCAAGGTCTGAAGCAACGTGATTTTACTCAGCTCATATCAACTAAAATAAGCAAGTCCAGTTACAGTCGCAGACTCGCAGTTATATTTATTCTTATTTTTTTCTTTTCTTTCAAAAACTAGTTTTTATTTGTTTTACACTTTTAGTTAATGTGAATGTATATGATAAATACGAGTAAGCTTACAAGGTCACTATACATATCTGACAAATAAAATACTAAATACTTCAAAAAGTCAAATTTATATATTTGATATTTATTTGAAAAAGTTAGCTTTTTGAAAACAATTAAATTTGAGAGATAGTTATTGCTACACATGAGAGGAGGACGAAAGCAAAAAGAATAGCATGAGACGTGAAATACGAGAAGGGTTGGAGCTACGGATCGGAGTAGAGTAGAAATGATGGCTGCATCATATAAGGAAACATTTTAAAGCTGCCTCCATGTTAATTTTGGCTTCAGCCCAATACCTACTATTAGAAAATTTTAATTATCTTAATACAAAAGTTTGTTTTATATTGGAATATTTTCAATACGAATCTTAAGAGAAGCCCCTCTGAAATCATTATACATTACAATGTGTTGAGTTTCAATATCTTAAAAAAAGAGAGAAGAAAGTAACTAGATGTGATGTTATATGATATACCCGTTATAAAATTCAAAGAACAAATCAGAATTTAATAGTATAAGTATAACAATCAATAAATGAGAGTTCTTACAAATACTAATAACAAAATGTTGTTGAACGAAAAGAGAAATACCAAGATATTTATTTCTACTATATATATATATATATATGAAGCCAAAGTTACTCCATTATGTATCTTATTTTGTTGTAGTTATCACTAATATTAAATCATCTTAAATAAAAATAGAACTTTATATTCACTCAAAGTACTTTTGCTACGTTTTCTGAATAAAACTATCATATATATAAGACCATGTACATGGGTGATATTTTTAGAGTATTACAAGCCCAAATATTATTTTTATATTGACAAAACAATTAGAATGGGCATGATTAGTATCAACCCAGTGATACTTTTGATACCGGTATCATCTGACGTGGCATCTCCTAATTGGTCGTGTTTGCCAAAAATAGAAGAAAAAATTAAAAAAAACATTAAACAAACATTATAAATAATACTAAAAAATTTTTAATGATACTTTATGAGTATCACCCATGACCATGCTCTAATACTCAAATAATCTTTTTTACCCCAACAAAAAAACAACTTTCATATGCTACTTAACATTGATACCAAAAAAAAAAAAAAAAAACTTTCAGCTGCTAAAAGTAACACTCAAAGAACCTTTAATTTTTTTTACTCAAAAAAAACATATTTCAGGTGTATCTTCTTTTTTTTTTTCAAACAAACAAGAATTACTCAACTTTCTTATACTCAAAATATTCACGACTCACGAGTGACGTGCAAATACTCTGCGGTTAGTGAGATTTTGTTACAAGTAGATAATTAAGAAGAAAAATAAAATCTGAATTAATCACTGAAAAACAAATCCAAACGGCATGACCAACCCAACATGGCAACATACCTAAAATGTTGCTATAAGCCTAGAATGACACGCGATATGATAATAAACTAGTTACACTAAATCTAAATAAATCAAGATCGAATGATTTTATTTCTACCAAGTTTAATTTGTTCAAAAATAAAAAAAATTATATGCTTTCTTATTCGGAAAATAGGGAAAATAGCTAGATAAATTTTGATATAGATACCGCGTAGATTGTATTGCGGGCTAGGACAAGGAACTGGTAAGGGCAAAGGACGAAAGAGGGGACCCCACATGTGCTTTCATGTTAAGTTACGGATAGTGGTCCAATTGACACGTGTCAACACGGGGACCACTTTAGATGGTCATTGGGCGGCTACTACTAGGGTTTTTTTTGTTTTCCGGCACGTGTAAAGGAGGGCGAAGCGTGTGAAGGTTTGATTTATATTGCTGGGTTTAGGCAGGCATGGAAAGATTCTTGGGATCCGTGAAGCATATTGTGTCCTTTCTAGAATGATTGGATCCTCCTCTTCTTCCTTTTTTACTTCTCCTCCTATCAGATGATAGAGCCCAAAAAAACAAATTATAATTATTCTCTTTTGTTATTGAAAATGAAATAATTTATGTTTAATCACACCGTTTAAATTAGTTGCATAGAATGTTTGTTGCTGTGTTGCACAAAAAAAAAAAAAAGAATGTTTGTTGCTGCCATTTTAAAAGCTCTACGGATCCTAATAATACCATATATTACCCCATCTTGTTTCTTCCCTCATGAGATCTCTAGACTCTAATTGTATCTTCATACGTATAAATGATAGTAATACATTGTGAGTAAATGTAGACAAGAGACTATAGAGAGGATAAAAGGAGGCAGAGTAGGTGAATAAATGAGTGAGTTTTTGGGAAGTGTAAAGAATTCTAAGAAAATTAAAAAAAAAAAAAAAAAAAAAAGAAGAAAAGAAAAGAAAGAAAAGAGAGTAACTGTTAGTTTTGGCTTTATACATCATCTTCCTTATCTATCTATTTTCATACAAACTTGCAAACCCTTCCTTAAACCTCCTTTTGGACCACCTCTCTCTTTCCCTCTCTCTTCTTCTTTTTCCTTTCTTCTTTTCTACGAATTTAATTTCCCAAGATTTTCTATTATCATTACTTTAGATCTCTCAATCTCCAACTGAGATTCTCTCCCTCCCCTCACTCAGTACAGTTGTAGACCCCTATTCAACAACTATACTACAGCTTTGCCTTTGTCTCTAGATTCTTCATTTCTCAATCTCACCAAACCACTAAACAAGATATGAAAATGTGCTCTATATTGTTTAGTTTTTAAGTTTAGTATAACAACATTTAACATTCTTGATTCAACTTAGCAGTAGTACAAAGTTATATATGGAATTCACTACAAGGAGGACTAAGGAAGTACAAGGGGGTTTTGACATTTATGTTAAAACACTTGAAAGTAAAGATTTGGAATGGAGGGACAGGATCAGAGACAATGTTGAAATCTGGACCGTCCAATAGGCAGAGACAAATCTGAGCACCAGATATTCTGTGTCCAAGAGTAGAAAGCTTTTAAATAGGGTTTTGTGACTTTGTGTTGTGAGATGTTTTTTTGAATATTAAATTATGTAACAAAAGCTATTGTCACTTTCACTTGTTAGTTGTCTTGTTCTTCAACAAAGACACTGCAAGTATTACTGGCTGCAGTAGCAGTACAATAAAATATTTCGTATTTGCAAATATGCCCCTATATTCTGCCATATATTGCCTTCTTTTAATCTACATAACTTAGGTTTTTCCTTGAGAAAGCTACACTCTTGGGAAGTATGAATGAAGCACAAAGCATCCATTTTCCAGGAGCCACAAGGCGTACCTTTCGCATCTTCACGTCCACAGCCACTTCAGATAGAGCAATCCGAATCCGCTGCAAGTCCAAACCACATTGTGCGTATTAAACATTAATCAATCGTTTTATTAGATAGGTTTTTTTTTTTCATCGTTTTAGACCTCGTGGAAGTCAAATTCTGGATCAGGAGCCTTGGAGAATCCATACACATGGATGGTTGGGAATGATAAGCCTTCGTCTCTCGGTCTATCGTTGTATACTCCGCGAAATGCATCTGCTTGAGTAAAATATAAATGGCGGTTAAGAGGGGATTGTGAGCCAGACAAAAGGAAGCTTTAGTAGGAGTATATACAAACCTAGAGATTCAGCGGCATCCTTTGGTAAATTCATGACTACTTGGGTGACTTTTCGACCTTTTTCGCTTGAAAACATAGCCTTTATGAATCTTCGTCCGTCCATGTTAAAGATCTAGACATAGATAAGAGATTTAGAATTCTACAAATGGCTTAAAGTATGAAACAAGGTGTTTGGAATTTGTACTTACCTCGATTCTCTTCTCGAGCTTATTGACAACACTATTCTGTTCCATAAATTCTACTGCATGAGGATTCAGGTCATTGGCATATACACGTTTTACAATTCTTGCTGCAGCAAGTGCGATAGGACCAACTCCAGCAAAAACATCACCTGTCAAAATGACAAAGTAATTTGTAACTAAACAGAACAAGACATAGACAAAACTTGGAACAAGACAGACGAAAGAACTTCAGAGTAGCAATAACAAGAAGACGGTTAATGTATTATCTATCTGCCTGCTACATATGCTTCTTATACAACAGAAAACAGTAAATTTTAACACCATTTGGAGGAACATATGCACTTTCATGGGGAGATCAGTGGTGCTAATTTAGTAAAAGGGAGTTCAATAGAGGGCATAGCAATAATTTGCATAATGTACCCTCAAAGTTAGTTCTAAGTAGCAAACATACAGACAACGTCATTTTGGTCGAACCCGAGTAGCAGCCTCTGTCTTTCTGTCCCAAGTTTCGAATTCCAATATCTAGCACACACAAAAAATGCCAAAAGAGTCAACTTATAAGCAGATACATCGTTAAATCACATGATAAGAGATTTGGTAAGAACATATGTTTTCTAAGTCAAAAGTAGACCATGTTTCTCCTCTGACTGAAAACTCAAACTGATATCAGACATCTTACGCAAAGCTACTTTCATCACCGAATTAAGGAGGGTAAGGGCTAAGTCCAAATGGTAAATGGTATTTGGGTCATCATCAAAGCACTCAACAAAAGCATGCATAAAATTGGCATTTCCACGAGAAAGAAGATACATACACTCTAGCTAAATCAACATGAAAGCGAAGTCCATTTTCAACAACCAGAGTCACCAGCGAATGGTTTCCAGCTAAAACCTCTAGCTGCATAGTTCTGAAGTCATTGTGGATAGGATCAATCTTATTCACAACGGTTTGTATCTTTGGCTGATTCTTGTCCAGGACTACCTGAAAAGAAACAGAAAGTAATAACTCAGCTAATTAGAACTCAATTTCTGAAGCTTGGGAAATTTGGTTTCAGACTTGAGCAATGTCCTCTATCACATTACCTTAGCGATGAGCCTTTTGTATGGTAGATGCTCATCTCTTAGATTCAGATGCGCAATATGCCCCACCATCTCAAATGCTGAAGGTACAACTATACCCTTAGGTAGTACAGCTTCCAATATCTACAACAATACACATTTTGAAGCGAACCAATTCGATCTGATCTTCGAGAGAAAATAAAGTCAGCTTGAAAGTCTCATCATTTACCTCAATCATTGGCCAATAGTCATAGAACAAAGTCACTCTGCATTTCACTAGCTCAAAACTTAAGCTCACATCGGTAATTTTAGCTTCTGCAAACAGAACCTATGAAACAGAAACCATAAAAATATTCAACAACACAACAACTACTGGATCAAATCAAACCACAGGAGTTGATTTAAAAGAAGACTTATAACCTTGATAGCCTCAGGCAAGTCTTCAACTTGCTCACCAGAATATTTCTCATCCAAAAGCAACAATCTTGTCGAACCTCTCCATCTTCCTCTACTACCATAGCCTTCTCCAAGTAACCCTTCAAAATCCTCAGCTCCTCCTCGAGCGTCCACCACTTCCACTACCGCCATTTCGTTGCGTCTGCTTCCATTTTCCTTTTCCTTCCTCTCCGTTGCTTTCTCTGTCTTCCTCTTCCTCTTTGGCCGAGAAATTTTGGCCAAGTTTCTGAATTTGAGATAGCCAGTTGAATTAAATGTCCTTGCGAGTTTATCTCTGTGCAACACTGAACTCAATCTCTCCCCATCCCCTTCTGCTTTCCCTCTTATTCTCCGATCAACCGAATCCACAATACTATCTTCTTCTTCATCTTCAGTCTCACGGCCCAACAGCTTCACCACATCTTCTTCAATTTCATCTCCAGGAACCCTAGCAATGTTCCGAATCCTAGGCCAATTAAGAAGATGACCACGGAGACGATTCTCGAGTGCGAAACAGTCCTTAGCCGGGACCCGAATCGCCGAAATCTCGAAAACCCTAGTAAATTCATCTTCATTCAAAAGAACACCTGTCTCAATTGATTCATCCAAATCTCCAATTTTGCTTCGATGGGCATCTCTGTCTCGACCAATTGAAGCCAATCTAAGATCATCTACCAAAGGCTTCTTCCCTTTTAGAAGAGACGGGCCATACGGAACGGTGGTGGAGGAGAGATTACTGGAGAAGACGCAGAATATAAGGGTTTTAGGTTTGGGATAGGGTTTATGGATAAAACGAGCTGAGTATGAAGAGAAGACAGGGAAAGGAAGTGAATTGGCTCGGAAAAGAGAAAGCTTTGACACCATTTTCTGAGCTTCTTGTTGGATTTGGGTTTTGGTGTTGGGACAGTGAAGGTCATTTCCCGCGTTTGTGCATCAAAGGTTTTAGGGAGAAGAAGAGATTCATCGGCAAGAAGAAGATATCACAGCTTTCAGATTTTTATTTTCCTGAAACTATCCCAAAATTGTAAACGTCGTCGTTTCAATAGTTAAGCGGCAAAACTAACAGTATTAAAACGATGTCGTTACTGGAGAATTCAAATGAAGAGAAATTTCATCACACAGGTTTTAGGCATTGGTCAGATAAATTTTCAAGAAATCAAAGGTAATTAATTAATTAAATGCAGTAACCAAAGTGATATTAAACAACAGAAGACAAGTGAATGAAAACCAAAACACCAATAAACGTGTAAAAACCACATTTGCAAGTAAGACCCTAAGTTTGATAACCAACACTTAGCATGATTATAGGTAGTCTCTTATAAATACTTCTTAGCAATATTTAAGTAATTTATTTGTAAAAGTTATTGTTAAGAGATAGTATTTTTGAGTTAAGATTTTTGTGTGATTAATGGTAGACTCTTAACATGTGGTTCTTAGAAGAAAAAAATATTAATATAAAAATAAAATTTATAATTATTGAAAATTTAATAATTATTGCAAATTAAAAAAATTAAAACATACATGAGATACAATTTATAACATAAATAACATAAAGCATAAATGTTTTAAACTTAATTTCTGGAATATTTTGTCCATATATACTCGACCAAATCATTATTCAATTGTTGATGCATTCTTCATACGGTTAGTTTGCTAAAGATATTTTCAGATATTTCGGTTATTTTTGAGTATTTTTTTGATATTTTTCGGTTATGTTCAAGTATTTTTACTATTTTTATATATTTTCAAGTATTTTTGATTATTTAGTCTATAAATAACTAATTATTTTAAAATGTATTTCGGATATTTTCAGTTATTCGAAATATATCGGTTCGGTTTATTTATTCATGCCTAATTTAACTTATCAACCACTCGTACACGGACATGTGGCCGTCTCTTAGCTTCAGTTTTGGCTCTTAGCTAAGAGACGTCTCTTAACTATAAATTTGATTTTTGAATTAAATTAAATTAATTAATTGCAACAAGTTACTAGACCAAAAACCTCCAGAATCACATGAAAGTAGGATCTTGTTTTTCCATTTCGGCTACTCATGATTCCATCAAGGCAGCGAATCTTTTGGAACGGGGAAGTCTGTGTTCAAGGGCAAAGCATAGGACTCCACGGCACCTAAAACTCCAAAGACTGATCTCATGACCATCTTTCAAATTATTACCCTTGACGACATCGTTCCACCCCCAATTCAAAGCGTAGTTCAAGGTTCCGTTTCCAGAGTTCTTCTTCTCCATCACCCATATCTTAAAACGCAAACCCCACATTTTAGACTTTTCATTCACCAGAATCGTTCCCACGCCAACGTTCTCTTCCTCGATGTCTTCTCTCTCCATGGCTTGAGACTCAGAAGGTGTCAAGAAATCGTTTCTGGTTAGCATATTGAAAGGGAGTAAGAGACGGCTCTGGGTTGAATTGACATCACTCGGGGATAGAGTCTTCTCAAAGACTAGCCTCGGATCTTCGCCTTTTTTCATCTTTATCATAACCTGGACAAGCCACTCCGGTGTCTCTCTAGCCATCCGTGGCAAAGAAGTAACCTTTGCTTTCTTGAATTTACCACTACTACTATTCCTTCTCTGTGGCCTCTTACGGCTTGTGCTGATCTCCGTTAGGTAAGATTGAGAATTAGGGTTTGGTGGAGGGCTTTTAGTCTCAGCCGTGTTGTAATGGAGTGAAGAACAAGGCTCAAAACAAGGAAGGTGGTGGAGCGATGAAGAAGAAGTAGAAGCCCCATTAAGATTCTGATCATAGTTTTGTTGTGAGTATTTTAGCGAAGACCTAATCTTTCTGGGGACATATTCCAAGAATCTGAACCTCTCGTCTTCTTCTTCTTCAGAGTCAGAGACGATCCTGGATTTACCTTTCTTCTTGCGTTGTTCTTCATCGTACATCTTAGTCGCAACATCCGCCAAGTCATAGAGCCTCCACCACATGTTCTTCCTCGTAGCCTCAAGATCATCGTCGTAGGTCTTCATTGTGATCGGAACCCTAACTCGAGTTCAATGAGCGAGAAACGTGAGAAAAAGGCAATAAGAGAGAGAGATAACGAGAATGAGTTAAAAGAGAGTGCCTTTGTTGACGTTAAATAGTTTAATCACAAGCAGACCTACTTCTTTTTCCTTTTATCTTTGAGATTAGTAGTTTAAAAGTACTTGTGATTAATCTTTAATTGTAGACGAGTTTCCTTTTTTTTTTTTTTTGACTAGATTATGTAGAGAGTGTGTATCACGCACTGCATAGATATTATGCGATGGCAAATACACTAGAAATCGAGCCAAAGATCTTCCCTTTTTCTTTTTTCCATTTTTTTTTTGTAGTTGGTCATTTTTTCCAGCGGCAAGCTTCAACATATATAGTCAGGGTTTATATAGACTAATAGACAAGAACTAAAACGTCGTCATACATAGACAAGAAAACTAAAGGAGACTTCTTAATTAAGATGTTGATAAATGATATATTGAAAAAATTGATGCCAAATATCAGGTTTGATTGGTATGTCACATAGATAGTGGAATAACGAATATTTCGATAGTGAATACATTTGAGTTGAATAGAGCTTTCGCATAATAACCATGAACTGTTAAAATGCTAGTTTTAGCAGATTCATTAATATTTTATCACTTTTATGACATTTTGAATAATGAACTTGTGAAAAGAAACTGTATCATTCATCACTATCACCATTGTCTCTTATCTATTCCTCGGATGAGGATAAAAAGGGTTTATGGATATTTTACATCCATCCTGACATTTATCAGGACCAACATTCGTGGAATGAAACAATGACATAATGATTAGCTAAAAAAGAAATAAAATGAATAAGCATGAGAAGAGAAAGGTTAGATCATAATATAAGTTGAAATAAAAACAAATTAGAAGAAACCTTAAACCCTATAAGCAGTCACACATAACTGTACAAAGCAGAGTGGAAACCGGATGATTATCACAAGCAAAATATGGACGATACAACGATCGTTTTCTTTTCTTTATTTTCAGTTATTTAAGGAATCAACTCAAATCTCATCAGGCAACTTAAAACTCTGTGTACCAAAAATCTGAAGAGACGAATTCTGAAGAAAGACGGCGACTCCACATTTGCTGCTGTTGAATCCATCCCATAGCGTAAAATGAGCAGTCCCCGAGACTGGTTTCTTCGGTGTTACATCTTTCACAGTGCACATCTTTTCCATCTTTCTTACAACGTAATCATTCGACAACATTCTTCCTTCGTTCTCTCCTCTCGCGCAGTCGTTCACAAGCCCAGTTTCGTATATCGCCACCATTATGTCCATTCCGTTTCCGTCTACTTTCATTCTCAAGGCTCCGGTGAGTGATACTTGCAGTGTCTCTGAGGTTGGTCTCTGGAAAGTCGCCTGGTAAAGAGAGAAACAAATGATTAATATTACATGTGAAAAAAGTTCGACAAAAGCACCAATTATGTAAAGAGTGACAAAGCCAATGAAGGAAGAGTGAGCCACATTATTCTGTTATGTCAAGAACTCATTGATTTCAAGACCAGATAATTCATGGTTGAATAATGTTTAGTTATGTAGCTAATCCTATGACACACAGTCAACACGAACATGTCGTTGAACCAAAATTTACCATAGATGTTATTTAGTCAGGATTCACCAAAAGTTGCTAATTCTAATGACATAGAAGCTTGTTGCATTCATAAACCTACCTCCCCTGTCATATACCTATAAACTATCTAGAAAGCAACCACATTGAGCATTCTATTAGCAGAGACAAAACCCCTTCAAAAGCGATGTACTAATAAATGCTTAATGATTATGTTGAGACAGAGAAAGACCATCAGCGACCTGACTATAGCCATGTATCTAAAGAGAACTCTTCCATTTACTATACTAAACATTCACAAGACTCACGGGCAAGCGATACTGCAATACATATTCATAGAACACATTGTTCTAACACAAAATCAGATGTTCATGTTCTTGAATCTGCAGGCAAGAAGCAAAATTCCTAACTGATGTTAGATTCACTATACACTTAGATTGAAATCACATAAAAAAGAGCTGAAATCTATCATATATCTAATTCCTCCACATCAAGATCATCACAACAATCGAGGATTATAAATCAGCAGCCACAATGTTAAGAAAACTCACCCGGAAAGCTGGAGAAGGAAACCTAGGCGCTTCGGAGATAGATTTGAGCAGCGTCTCTTCCTCGTTTCCGATCAATTGAGAACGGCCTTGAACTACAAGCTGCGGAGTAAACATCGTATCCAGATTCAACGCCTCTACATACGCCTTCTGCCTCACCGTCCATTGGCTCGATCCATACGGATCTTTCCACCCTTTGTAATCCCAATAATCCACATGGAACACCAAAACCATCGCCGGAGATCCAGATCCACCATCTTCTCCACGGATCTGGGCGTCGAAATCCCCTCGACCTAGCCGGGACATCAACATCTCCGCCGCCGGCGATGTTTTACATCCCTGAGAGGAGAATAGCTGGACGAGAACAGGTCCGTCTCCGGCGGGAATATCTGCGGATACGGCGGCGGAATTGTTACCTCCGGAGATAGGTTTAGTTGAAGATTTCTTGAGGCCGAAACAGGCGAAAAGACGGCGCGCCATTGGATAAAACTGTGACCGTCTCTTCGCCTCCTCCCGAAGAAATCGGATATAAGAAAGAAGGAAAGATCTGGAGATAAACGAATCAAGAAAGATGTTTTCCCGAGAAAATTTGAGAATGTCTTTCAGAGATCTTCAGGCAGGAAGAAGATTGATTAACACGTCGAGCGGCGACGAGAATAACGCGGCAAAGTGTCTTATATTTTTTTTTAATAAGGAAAATTATATTTTTTTTCCTTTTAAAAAAAAATGTTTATTTATCTTTTTCCTTATTGGTGGCAGAAGCTGTAAATTATTTATCTAACTAAATAAAAATTAAATTAATTTGGGGCTTTATCCTTGTTAGACGGGTCGGTTCGGTGACACGTCGAGAAAGACAAGCGAATAGTTGTTCGAGTTTTCGGCCAGCGAAATAACACCTTTTTTTTTAAATAGCAAGAGAATGAATAGTTGAATACATATGTTAATTTAACAATTTGAAATTAAAAAATTGTTGATGGAATATGGGGAAAGAAAAGAGTAGCTGATGAAGACTAAATTGTATCTTTAACAAAAAAAATGAAGACTAAATTATATTTTTAACAAAAAAAAAACACTAAATTGTATTGGACGAGGGCTAGATTCATCACTCAATTTTTTTCATTTAAGATATGTCTTTTGAGAGATTGTCAAACAAGTATACTTTGAAGACCGAATGAAATCGAGAACCGTAGATCGAAAAAGATCGAGAAATTACAAAACTTATGAAGATCCAACTATAAAACAATTAAGAAAAGATAGATAAAATTGTAAGATATTAATTACTTTTGGTTTCATTTGTAAAGATATTACTTACATTTATATTTACTTTAATTTAGGAGACTTAATTAGTTTTAGCTTTATTTCTTTTAATTTTTAAAAATACATGAATATAATTTGAATCTTTTTTTTTTTTGAGAGTCTAATACAATTTTTTCATAACACATTTTGCATTCTAATTCTCATCAATTTGCATGTAATGATTTTGTTTTGCACTGGATATACTCACTTAAATTTTCATCTATGGATTAATGTACAAAATAACTAGTTTAAAATCATTAAAATAAACACTATAGACTTACGAATTTAGATGTACAAGTTCAAATCAAACTTAACTTCAATTTTCTTTTCTGTGCTGAACTTCAAATTGTTTCTCCATTAATGAACTATTAGCTTTTAAAATAAAGGAGAACCACATATGTTTTTGTCCCTTCTTCTTCCTTTCACTCGCTTTGCTCTTGTAATATTGCTTGTTCAATCGTATCCACTCACATTATGTTTTTCTTACAACATGACACACAACAGCCTAATTAGCTTAAAGTAAATTTCTTAAAATGATGGCAAATAACCACTTTATGATCATATATAAATGACTGAAATCGAGTTGGCTTTGACCACATATAGAACGGTCCATGCAAATCCAAGTGGCTGATAAATCTACGACAAGCCAAAAAAGAACTTCAAGTAAGTTCCAACATAATCTCCACCACTATCTAGGAGCTTCACTCTCACACACACATCATCCCATCATTTTTCCATATATAAAGTCACATACAATATATCTTGCATAAACTAACTTTGGTTCTCTTATATATTCCTCGAGAGTTAAATAATCATATTCTAAGAATAAAAAAACACGATGTTAGAAGGGAAAGCAGTAATGGGTGAGACAGATATGAAGCAAACAATGAAGGAAGATGCTCTTAGTTTGGCCTCCAAAGCCCTTGATTGCTTTGATGTCACCGAACCCACCCAAATCGCACGTTTCATCAAGAAGGTTCATACATCAACTATTTTAAGTGTTAATAAGTGTATTAATCCGGATTAGACATGTATTTTCCACCTATACATTGTACATATATAATGAAATGAAAAATGATTAATGAATGTTATAACAAACTCCATAATTATAACTAGAGTTCCATGTCAATGAAATTAAAATCTTTTGGAAAATTTCAGGAATTTGATAGTAGTTACGGATCGGGATGGCAGTGCATCGTCGGGACGCATTTTGGATCTTTCGTGACTCATTGCAGTGGCTGCTTCATCCATTTCTCAGTTGGCAACCTTACCATTTTGCTTTTTAGGGGATCAGTAGGTGAACCGGCTCCCCGGACCGATGGTCTAGCTAATTTAGACAGTATTGTAAAATAGTCAAGTCCTTTTCGATTGATGTAGTGTTAAAGTTAAGAGCATTCAAGTTCTTTCTCTGTAATGTTATGGATGTCTTCAGTAACAAGAAAACACTACTTTCAAATTACATAGACAAAAAGGTCTAACGGTCAAAAACTTTTCTCATGTTTTCATTAGAGCTATATTGTGTGTAGCACCATGTGGTTACAGATCAATGTTATTTAGCTTTTGCCTTACCATCCGGTTAGCTTGTAACTACAGTTGTCTCTCAGTTAGTTTGATCAATGTAGAATTTACATCGTTAAACATCCTAAAACTAGTGTATTAGTTTTCGGTACATGAGAACAAGATCTAAGTTTCAACAACTTTTCTTGCACCACCAATTCCGATGACGACCTTCATCACCATTTGACCGGATTCTTGCCTTCGTCTCTCTTAGTCTTGCTTTGTAATCTTTCTTCCATTTCTCAAATCTTAACTTTAGTCTCCTGAGTTCTTCTGCGTGCTGCTTCCTGCTTGAGCTCTGTGAATTCACCTCGACAAGACTTTTCGCATCTTCGTGAATTATGACACTCCGTTGATCAAATTCTCTAGAAAGATTATTAACTTCACTCAAGCTGCGCTTAAGCTCTTTCGTGGGAGTTCCAAAGGACATTGTATCCTCTGACTCATTACCTTGACTTGCAGTCTTGTCTGGAGCCAGAATCTTACAGGCAGCTGCGAGACTCATCTGCAAGGGATGTTGAACATCATATAAGGTTTTGGTCGAACAAATCGTAAGCATGCATGAAGTCACTTACCTGCATTGACGACATATGCTTTTGCCATGTTTCCTCCATTGACTTCATTCTTGCTTCGTTCTCTAACCATCTTTCCTCAAATCGTTGCAACTCCTCCTGCAATGCAGTGTTTTCATCTTCCTTCTGCATTATAGCTGCTTCGACTTTCTGAACCCGGCTTTGGAGATCAGCAAGAACACAAGGTGGGTCCTGAGACTGCTCTGAAAGATGGTCCTAAACAAGAAAGATAACAAGTTTCAGCAGCGGTTAACTCAGAGACACATAAATCAGGAAAAAATACTACCTTGTCTTCGGAAACCCTCCTCGTTGACTTTCTTCTCGGTTGTTTCTTCTCATTGCGTGGTTTTTTCTTCTGTTGCATACTATTTAAGTGTTTACGAGCCAGCCATTTGCGTACCACTACATGTAAGGAGAAGAGATGTAAAATCTTATCCAAGATAGAAAAACAAATTCTTGATGCCATAGGAAAGACAACGTTATTTACTATATTGCAAGTGTATAGCTGCATCAAGCTCTTCAGTTATTGCTGTGGAAACAATAGCTGATTCTTTTACCACAATGTAGTTTCTCCTGGCATTTTCTCCGCGGATATCTGTAACAACAGAATAAGTAAGAACAATATGCATATACAGTAGAAAAATATAAAGAAATCATGAGGAATATGTCAGTGATTACATGACTGAAGTATCACTGCAGCATTCCTCATATTGTGAAAGCATTCACGAGCCTGATAACCACGAAATTGCTTCTGTAATCCAAGTATGCCACGCAAAACATATTTTCTTCTTTCCTCAAGGACGCCAATCTATCAAATATAAAGATGAAGGCGTTATAATTGTAGATGGATACCAAAATAATATCTACAGATAAAGAGAACTTACTAGTCCAGTTCGGAGGTATATTTTCGTATAACCAACTTGATACATTTCAGGAGGAAGATTGCATTGTTTCAGAATAGCATTTGATGTGCTAAGCGGCTCCTGGGAGATTCTTGTGTCCAGCAGTAGGCATCCATATCTAATCCATGAACAAGCCAACAATGACAAAAGCATAGGAATACATGGGAATTTGGAACAATGGCTTTATCAACAAAGTGCATCGGTAAGTTGAGAGACCAAACCTTACTGCAAGCTCTTGATGTGTCAACCGAGTAGGATATCCTGATCTTGAAATTCTAACAATTTCCAAAACGCCACAACATCTAAGCTGTTGTAGAACATGATTCTCTTCGTAAAGTCCAGGAAGCTGATTTGAATTTGGCTTTATGCATCGAATAAAATGAGGAGTGGTGTCTTCTAACTTGTTCATCAACTTGAAAAGTTGGCCCTGTAAGCATAAAGTGAGTAGATATAGCGATGCTCCATCATTATTCAAATCAATATAATTATAAAAGAGATTCTTTTCAGAAAACTTTACTACAGGAAGATTTCAACCAAAACAGAAAACTGTAGAATTCAAGCCTTGTCACCTTAAATTTTGTAATCACACTTTGATTCATGGAGTCCGAAAAGGTTGCCGGCTTTAGAAACTCGTGACGCATCTTAGTAGAAAACAGGTTCAATAATTGACATTTGCATGATGATAAAAGTTGGATAAGATCAACATGTAGCGGATCTCTGTTCTTTTCCAGGAAGCCATTTGTATTATAGAGAACCTATTAAACACCATAATGTAAAAGAACTCTCTTAAGTACCCAATGAGGATATTTGTTCATTTTCTTGCACCTTAATATTTTCACAGATACAATATCACATTAAAACTATTCAATATGCACATAAGTTGTTAGATTTGGGGTAACAACTGACCTCTCCGGCATAATGCTTAATTCTGAAACCCTGACCTCTCTCTCCCTTGAAACAAGAGTTAGCATTCAAATGCTGCTTGAGCTTGTTGGCAAACGTCGTATCAGTAGCCTTTGGAAAATTTGATTCCTCATCTAATAGCGATACCAAACCAATGGGTTTCTGCAAAAGAAACCATATGTGTAAGAAATAACCTTAATTTTCATAGCTTAGAGCAAAGAAATATGCCATCCCTTTCCATAAGGAGGAAAGATGACACACTACAAATTACCTTCTCAATCAGATTTAAACACTCTTGATTGTCTTTGAATTCGACCTTAGTCCAATCAATTCCATCCCCTTCATATTCCTGAACAGCGAAGATACTTTCATTAATAAACAATACACATTTAATTGATAAGTGTAGTTGACCAGAAGTAGAATTACACATCTTCATATAATAAGGCTCAAGAGAAAGAAGATCACCTCTTGTTCAAGTTTAAATAGATGACGGTTGAAATGTTGCTGCAGTCTTTCATTTGCATAGTTTATGCAAAATTGTTCGAAACTATTATTCTAAAACCATGGAGACCTGGTTATTACACAGTCAAAAGAAATAGAGACTACAAAATCTCGAGCACGATTACGAACCTCAAATGACTCAAACCCATATATATCAAGGATGCTAATAGATCTTCCTGTACGTGAGTTACCAACTTCCAGTGAAATGTTTATTTTCTCAACAAGCCAGTTGAATAGGCTCGCATAGATGATTTTCGCTAGGGAATCCCTCATATCAGTTGCCTGAATATATAGCAAAGCAATCCACAAGCTACCTTTAGCTATATAGAAATTACAAGTGTTGTGTAATATATTGCAGTGTTTGTATAGAAGTTAAACAAACCTGTCGCAGTGTCAGTCTTTTAGCAATGCAATCTCTACCAGCTTGGAGCTTGCATGTAGACAAAACCACCATAAGCTCTTTTGAGTTGCAGCCCATTAACGTAGCTACATTAGTTACAGCTGTAAGAAACAAGAGTAAAATAATAAGCATCACCGTTTTAATCCCAAGTTCACAACCAGCCCACTAATTCAAATGATTAATGACAGACGGTAAACTCTACCTTCATCTGCTACCACTTCGACATGGTTTTCATTGTCAGTCACTTTAAAAGATACATTTCCTAGCCATAACACAGCTGCAAGCAGTGCAAATACACGTTCTTGGTATTCTTGAGGAATTTGAACAATGTTGAAAGCTTCCTATAACAACAGAGAAATCATTTACAAAATATGAAATTTCAAAAATCTAGCATCTGTTCCATGGAAAACAGAGGGAGGCACTGGAAGTAGAATAAAAGTACCATCAATTTGTGAAATTTCTGAGCATCATCAGTGCGATCCATGATTAAGCAATTGCTCTGGTTCAAATAATCGTATTCACTTGCTGCTTTAAGCTTCAATCTCTCTGCAAACAAAATTTTATAATAAATGGTCTAGCAGCTTCTATAGTAATCAGTAAATTATATATGTCCACGCTTCACTTCAGCAGGGATATTTCCAAAGAATCTCATATGTAGCTGAAAGATTAATCTCCTGAATTAGTTCTTAGATATTTCGGTTTCAAATGTTACCTTTAAGAATTGGTGAAGCTCCTGCACACAATTGATAAAAGATATGGTAGGATCTCTCGCCATTGCACAGCTGAGCCACTCTTGACTGGTTTAAAGAGACTACTAATCAGCCATGAATAGCTAACGAGTGGAATCTGGCTATAAAGCTTCTCAACAGAAAATTTACCTTTTCTAGGAGAACTATGGTCATTATAGTGACACAAACATGGTGAGAAAAGAAAAGCAAGACGTGAGCTCCATAGTCAAGCAAATATGACAAACAATCACACAAATGTTCAAATCTTACAAGTTTCAAGTTTAGCTCCGCATATCTTTCCCTTTGCACTAAAATGAATCTCCATCAGTTTTCCCTGCACCAGTTCAGATTTACCATTGAATCCAAACCACTTCTCAATTTACCAATCCTGCGAAAATTTGAAGAAAAAAAGGATGTACAATTACTCACGAATCGGCTAGAGTTATCATTTCTTGATGTTTTAGCATTCCCAAAAGCTTCAAGAATACAATTTGTCTTTAGGATTTCATTTTCCACCCCAAAGCTACCTCCACCAAGAGCTTCCAAGTACTGCATTGCATATTTTGCTGTCTCAGTTTTCCCAGCTCCACTTTCTCCACTATGAAATAATATTTTATTCATTTGATTGTTGATATTAATATCAGAAATCACCTCCACATATGCATAGTCAAATCATGCTTTTTATGTGCACAAAAAGCATTCGGAATAGAAAGCCTCGTACCTTATGATAATAGATTGGTTCTTCTCCTCTGCATAAATAAAAATTTAAAAATGTAAATGCATACAATAACTATCTCAACACCATTGAAACGTAAAGACTTTCACAGCCTTCACGAAGATCCAAAGAGTGAGAAAGAAAATGCTTCCACTCACCTCTCATCATCTCATCATAAGCT